CGCGGGATCGGGCAGTGTTTCGTTCTGCTGTGCATGGGGTCGCTATGAGTCGGAAACGACTCGACGGCACTTAACAACAACAACAACAACGACGACAACAACAACAACAACTTTAGTCATGTTATCAGAGGGACCAGTCCCTGGAGAAGGATATCATGGTTGGTAAAGTAGAAGGTCAGAGAAAAAGGGGAAAACCTTCAACTAGATGTACTGACAAAGTGGTCGCAACAATGGGCTCAAGCACAGCAAGGACTGTGAGGATGGCACAGACTGGGTATTGTTTCATTCTGCTGTACACAGGGTTGCTATGAGTCAGAATTGACTTGACGCAGCACCTAACAACAACATATGCACAGCACATGTATGTGAAAGCTGGACAATGAATGAGAAAGACCGAAGAAGAACTGGTGTAACAGAATTGTGGTATTGAAGAAGAACAATGAAAATAGCATGGTATGCCATAAGACTGAACAAATCTTTCTTGGAACAGGTAGAGCCGGAATGCTTCTTAGAAGCAGGAATGGCCAGACTTTGTCTCATGTAATTTGGTCATGTTATCAGAAGAGACCAGTCTCTAGAGAAGGGTATCATGCTTGGTAAAATAGAACCAAACACATTGCTGTGGAGTCGGACCTGACTCATTGCGATCCCTCCTTGGGTTTCTGAGGTAGTATCACTATGGAAGTAGATTGCCCAACCTTCCTTCCGAGGAGTGGCTGGTGGGTTTGAACTGCCAGCCTTGTGGTTAGTAGTCAAATGCCTTAGGCACCACGCCAGCAGAGCTCCCTGGAAAAGTAGAGGACCGGCGAAAAAGGGTCAGACCCTCAGTGAGATGGACTGACACAGTGGCTGCAACAATGGGCTCAAGAATGGCAATAATTGCGAGGATGGTGTAGGACCAGGCAGTGTTTCGTTCTGTTGTGTGTGAAGTTGCTATGAATTAGGACTGACTCAATGGTACCTAACAACAACAACAAGCTATAACAAAGTATATTTGTTTGTTAAAGCTACCCACTTGTGGTATTTCTGTTATAGTAGCATTAAATAAATAAGACACACATACCTTTGTACTTTCTTAGAGTCCTCAAACTAATCTATTTTATCCTTTCTCTCCAGTATCTTTGACCTCTCCCTCTCTATTGGCCCTTTCATATCAACATTTAAGGTAGTTCAAACTCTTAAAAACAAAACATTCTTGCATAATTACCTTCTCTGGTCACATGTTTGCCTCTTATTACTACTGTCTATTTTCTCATTTCCCTTTCACAGATCAACTTGCTCAAAGTGTGCTTTGGGCTCACTAACTTCACTTGCTTACCTTCTCTCAAAGCTCAACTTACTATGATTTAACTTTTGCTTTCAGTTCTCCACTGAAACTGCTCTTATAAAGCTATCGATGAATTCCTTATCTTACCCAGCACCTGGACAGCACTGGAATCTGCTGTCCTTTCTGTTCGACCCTAAATATACTCTCTTTGCTTGCTTTCCAAGACACTGCACTCTGCTGGTTTCCCCCCTCTTCTCTGCTGGCTCCTCTTCTTCCTATCTTGTAACTGTTACTGTTCTTAGCATTTTGCACTAAGAATCTCTTCTTACTCTTCAGACTTTGCTTAGGCAATCTTACCCACAACCATAGGGGCTTCAACACCTAGCTGGACGATGCCAACTCCTAAATCTGTGTTTCTATGAGGTTTTTCTCCCATACTTCAGACTAGTATATGCAACTGCCTATTGAACTGCTACATATGGTTTGCACTTGATTACTAACCTAAAGATTGGTGGTTAGAACCCACCCTGTGGCTCCATGGAAGAAAAGTCTTGGCGATCTGCATCCATTAAGGTATAGCCAAGTAAACCCTTTGGAGTTGTACTCTGTCACATATGAAGTTATCATGAGTCACAGTTGACTCTATGGCAATGGGTTTTTCATTGGACCCATATACTTATGTCTCCTGACAGATGATTCAAACTCTACAAGTTCCAAACTGGACTGAGTAACTGCCTGTACTCTTGGGTTTCTTCTATTGGTGAAAGCCAACAACATTCACTTAATTGTCCAAACGATCCAAACCCTAGATGGTCATCTCTTACTCCTCTTTCTCCCTCATTTAACAAATGCAGTTAATTACCAAGTCCTCCTGCTCAATACTACTTGGAATCTCTTTTAACAGCAATTATCTACCAAGTTCAGTCTGTGGCCATTGCTCACCTATGTTGTTACAGTAGCCCATCAGTCTTCCTGCTTTCCCAATCTTACTCTCCTTGCTCCCAATCAACCACTCTCCACATTGTGGTAGGAATAAACATTCAGAAATAGAAAGCTTTTACTTTTTACTAAAATCCTTTTGTTTTTTCCTTTTGCTGAAGATAATTCAAAAATGGTTGCAGCAGTACACTGATGTGAGACTTTGTTTCATGTACTTTGGACATGCTATTATATGACGTCCCTGCAGAAGGATATCATATTTGGTAAAGCCTAAAAAAAGAGGAAGACTCCCAACAAGATGGTTTGACACAGTGGCTGCAACAACGGGCAATGATTGTGAGGATGGCACGGGACCAGGCAGTGTTTGTTCTGTTGTACAAAGGGTCGCTATGAGTTGGGACCAACTTGACGGCATCTAACAACAACAAATCTCCTACTGCCGTTACATGGCCATGTAGCACAGCCCAGATCACTTCTCTATTGTCTTGCTGTTTCTCCCTCACACCATGCTCCAGCCATACTGGACTTTTGGTTTCCTGGATGTGCTTAACAATGCTCATTTTTTAAACCTTATGCCTTTTGCAATGCTGCTCTGTCTGCTAGAATATTCTCCCCTCTTTGCCTGACTATAACTTCTAATATTTTCAGGTCCAACTTATGTGCTACGTTATTGCTTTGGACAACTCTTCTGGACCCCAGGTCTGTGCTAGCAGCTTGCTTTCCTATTCCCTAGACTTTCCTTGTCACGTAGCACATTGTACAGCAAATGCCTGTTCACTTGTCTGTGCCACCCACAGAGCTGGAAGCCACTGACAGTAAGAACAGTTCCTATTACTTAGTCACTGTCTCAGTACCTGCTCAAGTGGCTAGCTCAGAGTAAATGCTCAGTAACTATCTGTGGAAGGAAGCACAGGCATCTGTGTCACCCAGGCAGACAGATGTTTTGGATGAGTAAGTTCTTGTTGAATATATATGCTTAATACTGTGTACCTAATGGGGGGAGGGGAAAGAATAGGAGAAATTGTAAGCCTTATTACAGGAAATTTCACTTACATATGTTTCTATTTTCCCCTAATACCTATTAGTGTGAGGCACAGAGTAGGCACTTGATCAATAAATGCTGACTCAAATTAGAAAGAAAACAGTACTGGATTATGTACTAAAATCAACAAGAAAGGGAACATTTAAATTGAACATCCATGATGGGATTTGGCAAAAAGAAGAAGGATGGTCATTCTAATAACAAGTGCAGACTAAATAAAAGAACCCTAAGAATTACTGTGGGATGCCACCTGGAGACACTGGTTCTCAACTTTTGCTGCACAACAGAACCACCTGAGGAGCTTTTTCAGAATACATCTACCTGAGCCCCATCCTAGACTCCTGAGATTCTAATTTGGTAGCTCAGTGGGATTAAAGGAAACCAATGCGTTGTCATGGGCGCTCTGGTAGCATAGTGCCAAAGGCACTTGACTGCTAATCAGAAGGCTGGTGTTCAAACCTACTAGCCACTCATTGGAAGGAAGATGGGGCAATCTACTTCCGTAGTGATACTGCCTCTGAAACCCAAGGAGGGGTCACTATGAGTTGGGTCCAACTTGATGGCACATAACAACAGCAAGAACAACCCGTTGCCATTGGGTGGATTCTGACTCCTGGCAACTTCGTGTGTGTCAAAGTGGAACTGTGTTCCACAGGGTTTTCAGTGGTTGATTTTTTGGAAGTAGATCTCCAGGCCTTTCTTCTGAAGAGCCTTTGGGTGGCCTCATATCGCTAGCCTTCTGGTTAGCAGTCAAGCATGTTAATCATTTGCACCACCCAGAGATGATGAGGTCCTATCAGAGATGATAGGGCCTGGGAATCTGTAGCAACGTGTAGATGGGGTTAGATGGAGAAAGGAGTATCAGAAAATGTGGTAAAGAACAGGGCTCTCTGGGGTAGAACCCTGGCTCTACCACTTACCATGTGACTGACTTTGAGCAAATCTGAAACCTCTGTGTAACAGGAATAAAAAGGTTGTTATAGTTGTTCTGTGCTGTTGAGTTGATCCTGACTCATAGCGACCCTACAGGAAAAAGCAGAACTACTCCACAGGGTTTCCAAGGCTGTAAATCTTTATGGAAAGAGACTGGTACATCTTTCTCCCATAGAGCAGCTACTCATTGCCATCGAGTCAGATCCAATTCATAGTGACCTCTCCTTGGGTTTCTGAGGTGGTATCACTACGGAAGTAGATTGCCCAACCTTCCTTCTGAGGAGTGGCTGGTGGGTTTGAACTGCCAGACTTCCAGTTAGCAGTCAAACCATTGACCTTTTGGTTAACCACTGTGTTACCAGAAGTCCTTGGAAATAATATTACCTATCAAATAGGGTTTTAGAGAGGACTAAATGAATAATACTAATAAAAACTTTGACATGGAGACCCACATACAGAAAGTGGTGTATACATATAGCTATTATTAACTACTCTCTGACAGGGTCTCTCACATGAGAAATGCATACTTGGTGGACTAGGGGAAGAGAATTAAACTCAACGCAAACTTCCAGAGTATTATCATACCCAAAATGTGTATCTTATGGCACCAACAAGTTGTTTAAAGGACAAACTCACCAATCCCAAAATGCTCATTCCACATAGTGTGAAGACCAATTGTTGCTTCAGACAAGTACTTCTTTAATTCTTCAAATGGAATGTTTATTTTAAATTCTACAGCATCCTGAACTCCTAGGTCCTCAGAAAGCTTTCTCAGTTGATTTACTCGAAGTTCATCATCTTTGTTACGACAACCCCCAATGAGGACAAGTTTCATTGAAGGAAGTGACTCTGTCACCTTCTTATTTAGCAATTTAGCAAAGGCTCTGATCTGCAAAGGATGGTTCTTTTCAGGCCTGAATTGGCCAATAGAAACCAGCAGGTGTCCTGGGGTTGTCTTTTTCTCATATAAGGAAATGTCCAGAAAAGTCTGCACATCACAAGGTGGATAAACAATGCTGGTGCGACTCCCAACCTTCCACAGGGAGAGAATATGGTTTAGTGTCCAGGAAGAATTGACCATGACTACATCACTGCAAGACCCAACGACACCATACATGAAAGCAAACAAATAGTAGTAGATGAGCTTCATCTTGCTGAGAAATGGATTCCTGGTGATGAAGGCCGCATTATTAAATCCAACGTTTTGATTCTTCACTACAGAGAGCATGTCAGTGCTGATAGTGGGGTAATGAACATAGCTTCCAACCCGGCATCCCCCTACATACTTAAACAGAGGAAGCGTGAAGGCATATCCCATGGAATCGATGTAAACATCAGGAACACACTGCATCAGAGCTTCCCAGCCAAGAAACACGGATCCTAGACTTTGGCCCAGTAATGTGAAGTGAGGATACAGTGAATCTTCTACAAGGTAGCGCTTCCTTAAGAAAACAAACTTCACTGGGTGAATTAATCTGATGTTAAATCTTCTGAAAGCACCTTCTAGTATCTGGTCACCACTGACATTAACATCCCCAGTATAAACAACATAAACTGCTTCAGGATACCTAAAATATAAATATAATATTTAAGAATTTCATTCAATCAAGCAAAAATTTATAATTACTTCTTCACAATCACTATTTTATACTAAAAATATGCTTTCCACTCTGCACTGGGACTACTGACCTGACCCTTTCCTGAGTCCTCCCTCCACTCTTCCACAACTAAAGCATTAGTCCTTCAGATGACACCATGTTTTCTACTTCTTTGCTATTTCCTCCACCAAGAACTCCACATAGAGTAGACACCAATAAAACTTAGTAATAACTGCTGATTTATGAATGAGATTTTTTTCAGGAAATATTCAGAAGTTTAATTTGAACACTTTTCTCAGGATAAAAATGGTAACAAAATATTAATAAAACACTCATAAACAAGAGTTAAAATTCATCAAAGGTATCTTTAGCTAGAATTCTAATGCTAGTGTATTACTCAGATGTTTTTATCTGAGAAATACAAAAAGGTATGAAAGGCTAGATCTTGTACCTATATCACAGTTAACACACATGATATAGCTGTAATGGAAGTATCTGAAAGCATACTCATGACTTTTAACGCTTTAGTTTCCCTGTGATTGTCTTTATTATTCTTCTTCAAGTTATAAACCATTTATTAAAATCTACAATGATGTGCTGCTTTGTGCTGAGGATACATGGGCAAGAAAGTCTTTAACCTCAAGGAGCTCAGAGGAGAAAACAGGTATAGACAGAACCACAGAGTGCTGGAAGCCTAAAAGGTGAACATCTCCTGTTCTTTCTTAGATCCCTCCCCAGGCATTCTTTATCCAGCAGCTAGAGACATCCTTTTATAATATGAAAAAGATTTTTCTCTCTGATGGCTTAAAGATGGCCACAAATTCTTTGGCACTTATCCTACTGATGAGGGGGAATCTATGTTCCCTCCCTTTCAATAAAGGTGGGCTCTGTGATTGCTTTGAATATGGCAAAAGTGACATTGTGCCCATTTCTGGACCCAGGGTCTAAAAGACTAGCAGCTTCTACTTCCGATCTCTTGGAATATTCACATTAGGGGGAGTCAACTATTATGTAACAAGTTCAACTAACCTGAGACAGCCAGGTCATGTGCAAGCCCAACCTAGTCACATGGAGAGGCTGCTTGGAGAAATGCCTGACCAGCTCCCAGCTGTTCCATTCTGTCCAGCCCAGCCCTGAGTGAAGAAGCCTTCACAGGACTCCAGCCCGTTTCACTTGACTGCAAACTGGATGAAGGACTCAAACAGAGCCCATCAAACCCTCAAAACTAAGAGCAATAATAAATCATGTTTTAAATCATGGTTTGTTATGTAGCAATAGATTAAAAATCTACATGCCTTGTCATGTTTATTCAAGTCCTATGGGCCCTGCTTCCCTCGGTGACCTCCCCTTCCACTGTCTTCCTGGCCCATTAGGCTTCAGCCAAACTGGTGTTCCTTTTTTGGAATAAGCCAAGCTCCTTCCAGACTTAGGGGACTTGCAGTAGTTGTTCCCTCTGCTTTATCTTTCCTCATCTTTTCTGTCTTTTCATGAGACAGGCAGTGTGTATAGGGATTAGAACATGGGCTCCAATGTCTTAGTTTGCTTGTCTGTCAAATGAGTACAATAGTAATAACCTCATAAAGCTGTTGTGAAGATTAAGTGAGCTAATACTATACATAAAGAGCTTCAAACAAAGCCTAGTTAACTTTGTAAAATTACTGGCATACACTTTGTGAAGCCTAGTAAACTCACAACTGTCAGCTATTTTTGTCATTCAGAACTCAGTTGCAGTGCCATTTCCTCAGACATTTCCCTGACCATTCAATCTGAAATATCTTATCACTCACATACTGTCCTATTTTAACTTTTTATATAGTATTATCCTTGGAAGGAAGGTTGGGCAATCCTACTTCCATAGTGATACTTGCCTCGGAAACCCAAGGAGGGGTCGCTATGAGTCGGGTTTGACTCGACGGCACATAACAACAACAACAACAAATCACTATTTGGTATTTTTCTTTATTATCTTGTCTCTTAAAACTAAAATTAGATATCTGATCTATCTTGTTCAACACCTGAATCTTAATTCCTACAACAGTGCCTGACATATAACAGTCAACAAGTTGCTGTGGAGTCAATTTTGACTCTTGGTGACCTCAAGTGTATAGAGTCGAATTGCTCCATACAGTTTTCATGGCTGTAACCTTTTGGAAGTAGATCACCAAGCCTGTCTATTGAGGCCCCTCAGGGTGGGTTCAAACTACCAACCTTTTGGTTAGTTGCTGAGTGCTTAACAGTTTATGCTACCCAGTGACTCCTAACTGATAAACAGTAGGTCCCCAATAAACATTGGTAATTAAATGAAGAAAGTGTGCTGTAGCTTACTGGGAAGAAAAAGGTCATTTCAGAACAAAAGGAACATTATATGGAAAGGCATATAATGCATTAATCTAGAGAGAACACGATGTATTCAGGGGTTCTCCTAGAGGTCAGTACAGGGGAGCAAAACATATGTGAGGGAGTGGGCAGGGATGAATAACAAAATGTGGCAGGAACAAGATGAAAAATTATCTTGTATGACATATGAATGGAGATCTGGTGGTACAGCAGTTAAGGCATTTGGCTGCTAACCAAAAGGTCAGTGGTTCAAACCCACCAGCTGCCCCACAGAAAAAAGAGGGGGCAGTCTGCCTCCATAAAAATTTACAGCTTTGGAAACCCAATGGGGGTTGCTATGAGTTTGAACTGTCTTGATGGCAGGGAGTTTGGATTTTTTTTTCTTGAAGTGGGGTTAGGAGAAACAGGAGTCACTGGGGAGTATATGTATAGATACCATGGAATTTTATCACTGCCTTCAAAAATTAGATAATGTAATTAGAGAGACAAACTAATGCACAGTCAGGAGAAACAAAGAGTAGTGTGGATTGAGTAGGGAGGGCTTCAGGGAGGTGGAAATCATCTGGAACTTAAGAGGTCTTTGGACTTTTAGAAGATGGCAGAAGAAATACAGAGGTGGTGGCCTGAAGCCAGGAAGTAAGTAAACTATGGAAGAATAATAGTTTTCCTCATTTGACTGAACAGTAAGGGATCCTATACTATGCTTTTTTCCTTTCTAAGAGGGAATCATAAATCATCTTGGGGTTGGGATGGGAAGGATGAAACATTAAATGACATGTAATATCAGATTCCTTTTTAATATAGTAAGTTATTTAAGACTACCCAACTGGTAAAGATATAACATTAGAATCAAATAAGTGCTTTCACAGAGATGATTTCCTGTGCCACCACTGACTAAAAGTATTCAGGCTTAAGGTGATTTGTAGCACTTGCTGTACTTCTCTTTATTATTCAATGCTTTCTGCATATATTCTCCTCAGGTGACTTGTTATCCTCACCGAATTACACCACAAATGGGCAGATACCTTCCTTTTCATTTGTTTATCATATTAATTAAAATTCAGTTGGATCTTGTAAGGTAGGTGGACAAAGAAAAGAAGTCATTTCCTTATTGAAGATTAGTTAACAAAAGGAATTCCTGGCTACGAATAAGGGAACTAGAGAAAGATGAATTTCTGGGCAACAGGATATTTTAAAAAATGGTAATAATAGATCAAATTACATAAGAAAGATGCATACCTACTTTTTCTGGAGGGCCCTTAAGGCACACCATAACACTCTCTCTCCGCCTCCACCAGCATTGCAGTATGGATGGAAAAATGCAATCACCATCTTATTTTTCTCATTTTTGTTAGTTGTCACTGACTTTTTCTTTCTCTGTAGTAGCAGTCTGATTCCCCAAAGGAAAATGATCAAACATACACATAAACTTCCAGTTACAATTAGCCCAGGGAAGAATAGTGAATAAAAAAACCTGAAGCAAGAGAAGAAAAGTGAAAATCAGTATTAAAAAATATTCAATGTTTTTAAAATATTTTAAAAATGACTATCAAACTAAACTCACCAGCCACTCCTCAGAAGGAAGACTGGGCAATCTACTTCCGTAGTGATACTGCCTCAGAAAACCAAGGAGAGGTTGCTATGAGTTGGATCTGACTTGATGGCAGTGAGTTTGGTTTTGGTTTGGTATCAAACTAATGTCTACTTTTACATACCCACTTAATATATTAGTAGCAATCAAAGAAAAAAATTAGTTTTTTTAATGATTTGCAAGTCTTCTTACCAAATACATACTCAATTATTGAAATTCTAATGCTATAAGACAACCAACATCGAAAGTGAAAGTCTCCTTTAATTCCAATCTCCATAGCATGCTGGCTATTTAACAGATTTTTCAATCAGCAGTAAAAATCACCGTTGAACAATTTTTTTTTTTACTAACTCAGTATATGTGTTAATGAAAAACAAATTTAATGAGTAACCTAAATATAATTAAGAATTAATTTATTCTGACCCTCAAAATGACAACATATAACCCAGAGAAAGCTGGCTCCAGAAGGACCAACAATATTCCATCAGTTAGAAAAGTTGGGCAACACAGTTAATCATCTTTATTCTCTCATTTCACCTCAAATAGCAGAACAATTTTTGGAGTGACAGGAATGGAATTTAGGTTTTTCCAGTTCTATTCTCCATTCTCCCTTTGATTTTTTTAAAAAACCAGTTGCCACTGAGTTGACTCTGACTTGTGGTGATCATGTGTGCTCTACTGAGTTTTCAATGGGTAATTTTTTGTAAGTAGAGTGCCAGGTCTTTCTTCCTAGATGTCTCTGAGTAGACTCAAACCAACAACCTATAGCTTAGCAGCTGAGCACCTAAACTATTTTTACCACCCAGGATGCCCTGATTTGCTTATATGACCCTAATATCACTGCCTCATTGCCTTTCCTTATGTGCCTCTCGATGAGTTGCCAAAGTTCCACTAATGTTCTACTTAATACACATTACTAAATTCACTCATAAATTAACTGCTGAAAGGTTCTCTATTGCTGCCAAGTAGACTGAAGTGCTGTGAAGGCAAGGACCCAGTCTGCCCAACACGGTATCCTCAGTGCCGAGCATAAATGCCTGGTACAAAGCGGGTATCCAGTATTTGTTGACCAAATGCAAAATTTCACTACATTTTCAGATACCTTTTAAATTACATTAAAATAATGTCAAAGTACATTTTTCTGTTAGTATTGGTCAATAAAAGTGGTACTTAATATTTTTATACTCTACTTACATTATGAAGGATTTGAGGGGCTTGTAAGACATAAAAACAGTAAAATACTAAAACTTAAATAATGAAATCTCAGGAGCAGGGAAAAGATAGAGTTAGAAGTGGTATGAATATTGGGAGAAACCAAAAAACCAAACCCAACAGCACAATATTCATTCTTTTCCAGTGCACATGGAACATTCTCCAGGATAGACCATATGTTAGGCCACAAAGCAAGCCCTAATAAATTTAAAAACACTGAAATACTGCAAAGCATCTTCTTAGATCACAATGCTATAAAATTAGAAATCGACAATAGGAAGATCAACAGAAAAAGAGCAAACACTGGGAAACTGAGTAAAACCTCCTTGAAAATGACTAAGTAATAGAAGAAATAAAAAATGAATTTAAAAAATTCCTTGAATCAAACAAGAGTGAAGATACAACATACCAAAATCTTTGGGACATAGCAAAAACAGTGATCAGAGGCCAATTTATAGCAACAAATGCACACATCAAAAAAGAAGAGCCAAAATCAGGACCTTAAGCCAATATCTCCAACAATTAGAAAAAGAGCATCAAAAAAAGTCTACAGTCACAAGAAGAAAGGAAATAATCAAGATTTGAGCAGAAATCAATGAAACAGAAAATAGACAACAGAAAAAAATCAACAAGGAGG